CGGAAGAGACGTCAATAGCAAGCCTATAAGACGATGTCTAAAGACAGCTATCACGAGCGCATTCTCCGGGGCGAACTAAAGTGTATTCTTCTTAAACTCTCCCCCACCATGGATGGGGGATAAAGACTGACTGTCGTTGCAGGCCACAACAATGCCTATTTATGTACTCAGCTGCTACCCGGAACGGAATACATTGGTCGTACAATGAGGCGTTTGAAAAAGCGGTATGCGAACACCTAGTATGCCGCAAATTCAACGATTGCAGGCCTAACGCGTCCCTCACTCTGGTACCAGACTCAGGCAATCGCATTTCCAGTGGAAAGGTACTACCCGTAACAAACATAGAAGACGTACACCATTAACCAGAGCCTGCTAAGAATAACAATAAATCAGTGAGTACGAAGGATTTAATGTCCATTTTGAAAAGTGCCTGTTCATCTATGACCAGCTGATGGAGTTTACATGTACATTGCGCTCGGTTCGTATACAAAATTACACTTAGCTGACAAGACTGTCCTCATTTTTGGGCACCACATAAGGCCTAAAGGTAAGAAACTATTTCTGATGTGCTGTGGTGAAAAATAAGTAAGCATGCCGGAAGACCTCAAACTTGTCGGGTCATAAGATAGAAACGAGTTTGGCTTCGGCGAATTCATGCGTAAAGGCGTGACTTCTGAAATCTTTGTAAAACCCGTCTGCAGCAGAAAATATTTTCCAAGGAATCTTAACACACATTTTATGATAGAATGGAGCCGAGAAAGACAAGAGAGACCGGAATGGCTATTTTTCTGGTTTATTAACCGTCATCAGCCAGTCATACCCAATCCCACTCAACAACCAAAGGTCACGGGTTCGAATCCCGAGGGTCGCCACTCCCAGGACTAGTCACGGCCAACAAGCCAGAAACGGTCATTCCCGCAGGGTGGTGCCGGCACAGTGAGTTGCGCGTGAATTATTTTTAAGTGATGGTACACTTGCGCAGCACTTACTGCACGCTCTTCCCTCGCCCATCTTTGCCCGGTTTCAAGACAATGTCAAGCTGCTCGCTGGGTTCTCTCAATTCTTCGAAAGC